AAGCACTTTCATGGGGCTCTCTTGCCAGTGTAGAATTGCAAGAGAGACAGGGGGAGCATGTTGCAAGAAAAATACTAGTCACAACTTATTCTTTAGGAAAAAAATGGCCAGTTTCCTGAAAACACATGAATATGATGTAATCTGCTGACTGGAAGTCTAGATTGTAGTTTTTGAATGGTTTAATCAATAATGGGGCCAAGAAAAGTGATTCAAAATAACTGTTTTTTATGTGTTTGTACCATATTTACAATTTATTCTGTATTAACAACTAAATTCAGGTTTTACTATTTTGGATACATGTTATACTTACATAATTGTAGCTTTGAAATCCTGACGAATAATAATAATATACATTACTAAATTTTTTAGTTAGTTCGAAAATTGCCCCTCTATCCCCTGACTGGATTTTGGAAGAACTGGAGATCTGGAATCCAGTCAGAAGGTAGTGCAGGTGAAATCTCTTAGTTTAAAAGCAGTTTCTTGTTTGTGAAAATCAGTCATCTCTGCAGCTGCTTCATATGCTAATAATTTATTGTCCAGTTCACTGAGATGTAGGTGGGTCTTCACTTATCCAATGCTAATAAAGTCCGATGAGCTCCTCTTGTCTCTGTATTCTTATCACGAGGAATATTTCTATATGCAAACACCTTTAGGAATAACCCCATATAAAAACACAGGGAGAAAGTACGTCTACATTATGTTTAAATTTTTTGGATAAATACAAAATCTAAATAATCCTAAAAACTACAAAGGTTATTAATTCTAAGCTTTGCTGGGTGCCCTCTGTGAAACATTACATTTATTAAAGTTCCCATACACTCAATAAAAAACCTATAATGATGCTTGTAAACTATGTTGATGTGCGTAGTTACACTAGCTGTTAAGTACTGACTGCATGTGTTCAAAACCTGATTTTTAAAAGACGTGTCTCAATTTTGCACTTGTGTCACTAGGGGGCAGTCCCACTGCATTCCCTCTGAGAAGGATGAAACACTCTGAAGCTCTGGGAATTAAAGATGGGAACAAAAAAAAGAGGGAAAAATTATCTTATTATTCTAATAGAGTGGGAGGCAAAATTTCCCCTACTATTAACAGCCTCGTAGAAACAGGACACTAACATTAGCTATCTGGAAAAAGGCAAGTCAAATTAATTTGTAATGATGGGCCGTTTTTAGAAACTTTATAGTAATAGACCTTATTGTTCATTGTATGAACATTTGAACATTTACTTATGTCAGATAAATAAATATGGCATAGTTATTAGGTCACAGCATTCATTTAATCATATTTTGAGGGTGTTCTACAAAATACTGTTACAGACACTTCAGCAAATATAAGTGGGAAGGTCTTTAAGGGACGTTTCTAACCAGCAACCAGCAAAAGTTTGTGTACATCTAAGAACAATATTTTAATAACTGCTGAAATGTACATACTGTATGCACATATCTTACTTTTCATGATGCATTGCTTGTAAACATTTTGTATTTTTTTAATTGTGCTATTTAGGTGAAGTATTTATAGTCCAGTTTCAGAGACGTATTTTTACAGTTCAGTTTTATGCTGAGAATATACTTTCAGTTGTTTTTTGCTGTTACAGATTTACATCTGAAATATATATTTTTTGTGTGTAGGTTTCTTGACATTGTGGATGGATGAGAAAAAAGGCTAAATCTAATTTATGAAAACAAGATGAAAAAAGGTTCAAGAGCAACAGTCATTTTTTGCTTTGGAGATTAATTCTGCAAACCAGAGGCACTGAATTGGGACTGTAGAACAAATTCAATTAAAAAAAATGTCCAACTCAATAATTCAAAACCAGAACAGTGCAATGAGCACAGGAAAAACCAAACAGATGACCTACTATTTTGAAGTAAACCGTGTAAATAATTTGTGTCTAATTTGGGTTGACTTCTGCCAGTTACGCAAAGGACAGAGATACCGGATACCTGCGTCTAAAAAACTCTGCAGCAAGCCTGTGCTCCCCAAAAACGGGAGCAGAACAGAAAAAGAAAAGTTGGCAAAAGCCCTCTTCTGTTTGTGCCAGTGCAACCTGATGGAGCCTGAATCAGTTTTTCATCCTCCGCTTTGCTGGATACCCTCAGTGGTGACATCATTCTAGTCACAGATGTTTTCTCCCCTTTAAGCGCACAGGACAAAACAGAGCAGTAAACCAGGCCAGCTTGTGGTGAGGCCGTTACCCACAATTCAGGGAAGAGCTGGATAGTTCCCACTAGGTTCTGGTCGGCCTGGAAACAGCAACTTATTAATCTTGTGACAGAGGGCCAGCTGCATCAGTGGCAGTTACCATATTTCACCACCAACCTGTGTCTGGACAGCCATTGTCTTAAAAAATCATAAAAACAAACAAACCCCCCCTGAATACCGACCGAAAAGTAATAAAACTAAATGATGAATCAAAAATTAATGTTGATTTTTGCTACCTAAATTAAAAAAACTAAGTTGGGGGGGGGGGGGGTTGGGTTGCTGCAAGAGTTGTGATGTGTCATCCTGAGCCATGAGGTTTACTAATTCAGAAAGACTGCTTAGTTTTCCAACTTTAATGATATTCCCCCAGCATATCGCTATGGTTGCTTGGAGACCGGATTTGAGCTAGGCCTCTCATTCGATTCCCACACATCAGACTCTGAAAAGCAATTTTTTCTCCTTGAGCTTTTGATTCTCTCTCCTCTGAAACCCTTCCTCCTGCTGTGACAGTATGGGTGGGCAGAGCCTGGGCAGAATAGGCTGGGCGTGAGGGGAGGCCTGTGGGCTACTGGTCACACATCAAGGCCTGAACACAAAGCCCCCAGGAACCTTCCTTACAAACACAAATTCTCTTCACAGAAAGCAAATGTGTTTTATTTCTCTCACTCCATAACTTGGGTGTCAGTTTAGAAGTTTCTGAAACTTTATTATACATGTTTTTACACCTATTCCGAGAACGAGAGAGGGTTGCTTAATTCGAAATCTGAATAGGAAGACTCAGTTTTGGCCGCTGGTGATTTGTGCATTCACTGGACAACCAATGCTGAGCTATAAAGGCTTTATGGAACCATTGTCTGTATTGATCTCAACACTGCTAAAAACACCGGAGTACAGTTTGGGCATTTGCAACACAATATTATGCAGAATAATCGTGAAGACATGGTTAAAAAGTCAGAAGTGTAAACGCACCAACAATAGCTGACCCCGTACTGAAAGCAGAATAATCTCGGCTCAGCCACTGTGCAGTTAACTTCCCCTACTTTCCCACTAGAGCAAATAAGAAAAAAGTTCAGGGCACACAGTTCATTTATTTCACTCCAAGAACAAGAAGCAAAATATTATGATTTGGTGTTAAAGATTTATTCTTTTTTGTCTCTGAATGAAAGTATTTAATGCATCAATGGAAAAATCAAGTTAATTTTTTCATGGGACACTTGAAAAGAATTCCTTTTAGAGGTATTGTTAAAGTTACCAAATCCAAATGTATTGAATGATGTCAAAACATTTCAAAGCGTGCTTACACTGGCGGATTACACTCTGAAAAAAATAAATAAATTTAGTGAACGGGGAAGGATTGGTGAATAATGCATAAGTGGCTGAGAATGTGCCTGCCGCTCATATGAACGTGTGTGAGTTTCATATTGCACTCAGCAATAAAGACTGCGTTTGTACAGCTCATATCATGGCCTGCACCTCATGTAGGCCATGTCAGCGATAAGAAGCAGCAACAAGTAAAATACTCTTTTCACCTATTTGACAGAAATGCTGGAGCTTTTCTACTAGAGACAGTAGTCTCTCTCCCTTTACACAGAGCTCACCAAGAGACTTCCTGAACCAGAGGACATACTAAGGTGAATTGACTTCAGTCGATCACATTGTTCGTGGTAGTTAGGATAACGTACTCAGTGCGTAATTGATTATGTTGTTTGGAAAACAGAGAAATTCAGGAATTCTACACACTTCTATAATTTGTTTGCCAAAGGATTTTTGATTTAGCACAATAAAGTTTTACACAAGATACAGAGACGTCAATGGAACATTTTTCTCAAACATTTCTCAAAATGTTCTGGTTTACTTATAATTTTCACTCCATTAGTGTAGATTTGCCACAGAGTCTGCAAATCCATTGCCTTGAGTGTATCAGTGTTGAAACAGCAACACGACACTTTGAAAAATGTGATTTTAATGTCATTCCAACTTATGAATATTTTATAAGTGGCCCTGCTGATTTCACAAGGATTTAAATTTTTGGTGACTTTTTTTATGCACTTGTCGAATAAAAATTCCTCATGCATGAGTTACAGGGATCGGTACTTAAACGTTTTATTGAAAAAACAAGAGAAAAACAAAACAAACAAAAAACTTATTAAACGGTGCATAGAAAAACTCCCATGGTAGAAAAGTAACGAAGCATTTTATGGCATTAACAAAAAAAATAATTTCATCTTTGATGTAAAAAAAAAAGTTGGATTTTTTATTTTACACTCGGATACAACCTCGGTATCCCCCCGGAATGCGCCAGCCGATTGAACGGCGGCGAGTGTGCAGGCCGCCTCGCGCACAGTGCTTTGACAGCCATTTGCATTTGCAAACTTTCTCCGTGCGGCTCCTCGGGATGCCGGAGTGCTGATGTCAGCCTGCGGAATGAGTTTGCACAGGAGTTTGCAGCGCCTCGATTAGCTGCGTTGCCAGGCGCTTGCCACTGCAGCTCCTTTCCGCCCCGCTGCCCTGAGCCCCTCGCACTCTGAAAAGCGCCATTTAAAATTAATTAAAGCTTTTCGGATTCGCCACCGAATCCCCCTTCGGCAGACTGAATTTTCATTCTGCTCCACAGTCTTCCGCAAGGTGATGAAAAGTTTTACGACTTGTGCAACAGTGGTGTGGTGTGCGAGAGACACCCTCCCGTAAAATGACAGTGGCGTAAGAATCATTTATCGTGAAATGTTAAGGAGCTTACAAAAAAAAAGTTTGGTTACTTTTTTTAAAATAAGAAAATAAGGTGCTGAATGAATTCTGCATTTTTTGCTATGGACTGTTGCAAATTGAAAACAAGCTCTGTAAACTCTAAAGAAACCAGTCCTAACGACTTCTAACCAAAAAGACTGGTCAGGCATTTGATCCCAGCACAGCACAATTCAAAATCTGCTCTCTGCTGCTCTGCGCATGGAGAGGATTAGGAATGTAGTAAGCAATCACGAAATATTTCTTGATTATATATTACACTTTTTTTTAGCTCCTGTATTTATTCCTTGGCAGGTCATTTTAAGAGAAAACTGCAGGAGTAATAATATCTCTTTGTGTTTGGAAGTATGAAGAATAATTTTTGGAGATGCTAAAATTTTCTTTGTTAAAGTTCTGTACGTGAGGACTTTTCTAATTAGACGTAGAAAATCTGGAACAAACTTTAAAAAAACTAAATAAAATAATTTTAGAAAAGCTTTGCTTATTTTGATAATAACTTGAAGTTATTGATTTGAAGTTGAAGATTTAATGTCTCTTTCTATATATGTTCTATAATTACTGTAAACAGTAAAGTATTTAAATTTACCATGTAGGATTGCTGTGCAAAACTAGGACACCTCTTGGCGGTTTAAATACCTCTTGAACTCTGAGGTCTGTTTCCACAGACAGTGTTGTAAGTTTCACCAGAGTTAAAAAAAAAAACAATTTTCACAACCTATGATTTGGTCAAATCTGTAATACTACACTTATCCAGACATGTTAGTATCACAGAAATTTGGTTTCTGGTAACAGAACTAACCGCTGATTAATTTAAGAAATCCTGATATTTTTTTTTTCAGACAATAACTCCATCACTTTCTGTAAGGATTAAAAGATTACTCCATAAGATATTGAAAAAAGTAAATTAAAATGTCTTTAATTTAAAATAGACTAATACAACTGAGAATTTAACAGTTATATTTTTAATTCTTAATTAGACAGAATTAAACATTGTACATGGAACAAACATATTACTTTTTATAAAAAGAATAGTTTTTCAGATAATGACCGATTTCTTTTTTCTTAAGGAGGATACTTTTGCTGTTTTCTTGTGGACATCTAGTTTTTGATTGAACAAATACTGAGAGAAATTGAACTTATTGTGATGAATCACATGTCCTGAATGAATGCAGTGTGCAATGTGTAGCAATCCTGTATTTTAGGGAAATCTTTTTCTCTCAATTAGGTGGAACAGCAAGCTGATGTTGCAGTGTGTGGAACAGAGCACTGGCAAAAAGAGACTTTAACGAAAAGGATTTTCTCTCTCCTCAACATCACACCAGGGCAAACATGCAAGTAAGCCCTTGTTGTGTCTTTTTTTCCATGGAGTATGACCAATTGTACTCTTGTTTTCCTCAACATGTCAGTGAAAAACAGTATTCACCCTGTTGCTTTTAGGAAGTTTACTGATCCTATCGTTTCAATGAAGTACAGGCACATTCACAGCACAGCCTGGGCACTTGGCCATTGTTTCCTGTCTTTGGGCACTGAAAATATTGGCCCAGTAATCTGTACACTTGTAGGAAACAGGAAAACTCACACTTTAATGTGATCTTTTCAACGCAGCTTTTCTCATTCAGAGAAAGATAAATAAAACGGTAAAAGGGCATGGTTTGTTTTTTCTTAAGTATTATTAGTAGTAGGACTTCATTGCAGGTAAGTGCTCAAGTCTAATGCTTGGTGAATTTGGGAAATAATGTTGTTAAGCATAGATTATTATCAGATGTATTCCATATGAGATTAATGGGAAATCATTTTTATGTCATCTACAAATGAGCTGGAATTACAGCCACATATTACGAATCATTATCTATTTCTTTTTATAATCAATGACAAAAAAAAGTTTGTAATTGTGAGATGGAAATTCTGCTCTGGGCAAGTCTGCTCATTTCAGAATGTGATGACATTGAAAAGATAACTCTTATCTGCTGGAATTAGTTTTCATGCACTTCGTCCTTTATAAAGAAAGAGGCCAGTCAGCCCTCACTACTAAATTTATGATTTAGCCTGTTTTGTATGCTTGAGAGCATAATGCATCTTTTTCAGTCACCGTGGTTGCATGGTATTATTTTGTGCTCTTTTAAGAAATGATGCAGCTACACTATCATGTACACACATACCATATGACTACAACATGCAGGACAAAGCTTACTTGGTAACAGTGTTATGAATGAAAATGATGTCAAACGCAGATGCAGTATTATCTATATGATGAGAGTCAACACTAAAATGATCTGAAAGTTTTTCAGTTAAGACTGCCCTTGCATATTGTTGTTTCAGTACTTTTTAAAGATTGTGGATTGTTTAATGCTCTCTTGTGGTCTTTCTGTAGAGTTTGAAACATAGTGAACCACCTAAATGTATCTCATACTAGTGTTATGCATCAGCTTTTGTAAAAAAAGAGCTTCTGTAGAGTGAAAGTCGCAGAGAGAAGGCCAAAGATCACACTATAGATAGTTTTAAATGTTCAAATCCTAGATGTAAAACAGTGCATTTTTCAGAGAAAGTGCATGCAGCAAAATAATAGCTTTTTATTATTATTCTGAAAGCAAATATTTTTTCCCCTTCTTATTGGATATTTCTTCAATAAGATAATGCATTTACACACAAAAAAGTCATATCTATCTTCCAAATTATTCACAAATTCCTGTGGTGTCTTCCTTGTCACTCTGCACAGACTGGAAAAGTTTAATTGTTCAAGGTAATTAAGTTTAATGTAAATTACAGCTTTCTGTCACAGCTTTAATGTGAATGAGCACTGTTATGACAGTGCAGCATGCAGGTTGTCTTTAAGCATGATTTTTTTCTCATTTAATGACAAAGATATCATATAGCGCTTCTTTAAACATGACACTGACATGTAGTACTTATTCAGTCATATTCGTAATGATTAAAATTGCACTATATGACACTCTGTTATTTTATATGATATAAACGTAAGCCTTTAATGATGAATTATGCATTTTTGTTAAGATTTACTCCAGCTTCCGAAAGTCAGAAGCAACAAAAGAAACAAAGAGCTTTTTGTGTATTTACAAATTAAACTGTGCTGCTTCATTGTTTGTGGAGTGAGTCAGTTTTAAAGACTGAAAGTCACATAAAAGACCAATTTTATTCTAATTTCATTCTAATCTGAGTTTGAAACAATGAAAATGGGCATTTGATGTGTTTATTACAAAGTATAATTGGATACTGTGTATTGCAGAAAAGTTTCTATCAAGCAAAGAGAGAGAGAAGTGAGAGAAATCCAGCTTTTGAACGTGAACATGGAACTAACAAGAAGAGCTCTTTCTCATCACGGGACTAATTTTGTACTTCATGCCTTCACAAGCAGGAAAAAGGCTGAAATTCCCGATTTTCAAACCTAGACCTGGAACTATGTCATTCTTCCAAATTGATAACAGAAATGTCTAATTCCACTCATTATTTTATATCAAGGAAATGTTTTTAAACTGGTTACGTATGCATGCAAGTAGATGAAGGTTGGTACCCTACACAAGGTATGAGAGTAAATGACAACCATTAAAAGATATGTTTGTTTAAACCCACAGGTCTGCAGAGTTCTTCCACTGGATGAGCTCATTAATAAAACCCTTGTGCATCACACAGTCTCATTTGCCAGCAAAACCTCCAAGAGAATCACAGAAACAAACGTAAATCCCGAGCATGACGCACTGCTGAGCCCTGTCACATGGCAGGTGAAATTATTCCAGTAAAGCAAACAGACTGGATGTCCTGCAGGAGTTCACTGTAGCACCAGCCTCAGTGCTATGATTGTTTTTGCTTACGCTAGCCACACAATATTCAATTGCAAATAATTTGGAGATTTTCATCACCTGACTTTTTGCACAAAACATGGGTTTTTCTTTCTCTTCAGGTCCATCGTTTAAAAGAGAAAGCCTCTGAAAGACAGTAACCAGTCACACATGGACAAACACACATCATGAAGTGAAAGAGAAATTACTTTTTTGTCAGCTAAGGGTCTTAAAATGTGTTCCATACAATTAGGCATTTTTCACATAGAGAATTAAATTCATTAAAAATTATTAATTAAAGCTTTGATAAAGAATATACTGCATTGTCATCTTCATTGTGTATATTCATTGCTTTTTCATAGAACTGATGTCAGTCATGAATATTTACTTGGAAGACTGTGACTTGTTAAAATAAAATAAATATAATATATATCTGTTTTTTCAAGAAAGAAAATGAAATATATCAAAGTAAATAAAAAGCATTGTTTAGAGTATGTTTATAACTGTGGAAATTAATGAATTGGTTACACTTATATAGAGGTTTTCTGGACACCACTCAAAGGGCTTCACAGGTAATGGGGATCCCCTGCACCACCACCAGTGTGCAGCCCCAGCTGGATGATGCGACGTCAGCCTGAGTGCGCCAGAACGCTCCCCACACACCAGCTCTCAGTGGGGAGGAGAGCAGAGTAATGAAGCCAATTCATAGATGGGGATTATTAGGAGGCCATGGTTGGTAAGGGCCAATGGGAAATTTGGGCACCAGGGTTACACCCCTACTCTTTTTGAGAAATGCCCTGGGATTTTTAATGACCACAGAGAGTCAGGACCTCGGTTTTACGTCTCATCCGAAGGACGGCACCATTTTACAGTATAGTGTCCCTGTCACCATACTGGGGCATTAGGACCCAAATAGACTGCAGGGTGAGCACCCCTTCTGGTCAAACTAACACCTCTTCCAGCAGCAACCTTAGTTTTCCCAGGAGTCTCCCATCCAGGTACTGACCAGGCTCACACCTGCTGAGCTCCAGTGGGCTGCCAGTTGTGAGCTGCAGGGCGATATGGCTGCTGGAAATGTGCGCGAATCTTCACAGCTCAATCAGAGAGCTGCAGGTATATGGTGGGTGTTTTCACTTGTATTACCCAAAGGCTGAACACAGGAACACTGGCTGGGCACTGAAATGTAGTACTTATTCAGTCCTGATTGTGGGGAACTTGAATCAAGCAAACATCCAGAATACATCTGGTGCTCCTGTTCAAACTCTAGTGTCATGGTAGAGCTGTGTGTGGTTTGTAGAAATGTTAGGACTCTTTGTTTCCCAACCTGACTGGAACAGAAAAAATATGGATTCATGTTCAGTTCTAAAAATTCTAGCCAGCAGCCATACCACCCTGCAGGTCAGTACCTGGATGGGGGACCCCTGGAAAAGCTAAGGCTGTGTCATAAACAGTTCTTTCCGGGCCCTGTGCAGACGTCACGATCCGGAATAGTGAAGAAACACTGGGGGAAAAATCATGCAGGAGAGGGTATGGAGACAGGGGGCGTGTCCAGGGGGTGCAGGTGTCCAGGGAGAGTGAATCCATGAGAAAATCCAAATGGGTATCCAAGACTGAAGGTAGAGTCCAAGGCCAGGGGATCCATCCAGGGAATAAAAGCATGAACCGGGTCGGGACCGGCGGGGCGGGGAATCAGGAACAGAAGGTTAAAACCATAAAGGAGCCAGACGCAGCAGGACCCCGGGCTCTCATGAAGCGTAATTCAATGAGGAACCAGGAGTGACGTCTGCGTCTGGCTTTTAAGGTGGAACAGAAATAAGAAACAGGTGCAGGTAATGGGGCAGAACAAGAAAGGGCTGGAGCGCCCTTAAGAGGAGGAGTAGTGATCATGACAGGCTGGTGCTGGAAGTGGTGTTAGTGATACCAGCAGGGGGCGCTCACCCTGTGGTCTGTGTGGGTCCTAATGCCCCAGCGTATTGACAGGGACACTATACTGTAAAAAGGCTCCGTCCTTCAGATGAGACTTAAAACCAAAGTCCTGACTCTTTGTGGTCATTAAAAATCCCAGGGTGTTTCTCAAAAAGAGTAGGGGTGTTACTCCGATGTCCCGATCCACATTTCCCATTGGCCTTTACCAATCATGGCCTCCTAATAATCCCCCTCTCTGAACTGGCTTCATCACTCTGCTCTCCTCCCCACTGAGAGCTGATGTGTGTGTGAGTGTTCTTGCGCACTGTGGCTGCCGTCGCATCATCCAGGTGGGGCTGCACACTGGTGGTGGAGGGGATCCCCGTTACCTGTAAAGCACTTTGAGTGGAGTGTCCAGAAAAGCACTACTGTATATAAGTGTAAGGATATTATTATTATTATTATTATTAATAAAAGTGTAAGTGAACCACAGTTGGGATCCTATGCTGTCTACCAGCTGTTCCCAGGATTCCCTGAGTGGTGGGGTGAAATCGTCTCACAAGCTGCTGTGGAAAGAGTGGGAGCAGGTTGACGTTCTGGGAGCTGTGGGAGTAGATTGGAGTTCTCGGTGTTTGGGGAGAAGTGGCAGCAGTTAGGAGCTGACTTGCAATGTGAGCAACAGGCTGGAAGAAGTGATGTGAGCAACAGGCAGAAGTCAGAGGAAAGGCATGAACAGTCTTTACCTGCTCTAGGATGGCCTGAGAGTTCAGTACAAACAACCTGATGACTGAAACAAAACAACTGAAGACTCCAGGTGGGTGTGTCCATGATTTTTAAAATTCAAAACATCAAAAGAAAAAATATACAATTTATTTTTTAATTTAACATGCTCAGGATGTTGGAGGCAAAATTCAATATCTATTCATCTTTTACATGGCTGACTTGTATCATCTGCTCAGAATCAGAAAGGCAAAGACATGTTGGGAGAGAATTTGAAAGATTGCGCAATTTTCTGCGTGAGAGATAGCTGTACCTTGGATCAGATTATGGATAAGCCGATGTGTGCTACTCTTATAGAAATTCGTTAAACCTCACAAAATGAGCCAGATAGCAGATAAGGCTGGCAGCAAAAGTTGTCTAAGTGTTTAGCTGCCTTTTGGTTCTACCTGTCATGCTTCTGAGAGCTAACTAAAAGTGTGTAAAATGCAGCAATGAGATGAAGACCTATCAGAGAAGCCTGTAGTGAAAGGCTAGCTTCTCCTTACGTTGACATGTGCTGCACAGTGACAACATGTTTCATGATTTATTATGTACAACCTACACAGAATTAATCTAAAAAAAAGATCTTGATCTTGTTGTCTTTGTTCTGTGTGCCATTAATAAATGTGTTGAGGTGTGTGTGTTATGTTTGAACGGGATCATGCTTTTTGAAACTCCACAGATAATGGGAAAGATCAAAGCAAAGAGAAAGATCCATAGCCCAAAAGAAGTGGGCACTGCAGATGTGTAGAATACACACAGCCCTGCCTGGCTTTGTGGAACGTTCTCATGAAGGAATCCTAAGCAAATGCAGCTTTGTGTACATTTCACAGAAATCTGGCAGCACTGCTGACGTCCTCAGAGCCCTAAGCCCCAGTGAAGACTGAAGCCACAAAATAGCAGGATTAGGGGGTTACTTCTGGACTGTCTATCAGACAAATAGCTAATTAACTCCTGGAAATCAGCTCCCTGTGTGATGTAATTTGAATGCATGCACAAAGTCACTTCAAAAGTGAAAGGGCAACCCAAAATAAGAGAAAGGCAAGAATAAATATGCCCCTCTATATCTCAGGACTGGTGCAAGAAACAAGAAAGGAAATATTCAGCTCTTCTGTTTTTGTCCTTCTGTATGTGTTACTATGCCTGAAGGTGCACAAAAAAACATAGATTTGAAATAATTAAATCATTTCTGTGGATAAATCCCTGGGTGCCACATTTGATGAGGTGGTTTTACAAGTAAAACGTAAAATGATCAAATCGTCGTGTTATCATTATCTAAAGCGTATACTGTACCTAAAACTAACCTTGTGGGACCTGACAAGGATACAATATCATGGACCTAGACAGCAAATCAACAGTCAAGGACTTACAGTACAAATCTGCAGTTTAAGGGGGTTTGAAAAGCTGCAGGTGACAGCTCTGGGGGCTGCCATTCACACTTTTTTAAAGACAGGCCAAAGGGAGGAAGAAAATAATCAATAACCGATTAGTTTAATACACACCACAATACTTCAGAATAACACATTTGCGAGAATTCTTATTAAACCAATTTTGTCAACAATGTGTTTAAAACAGAAAACCGAGTACAAAGAGGGCTAGGAGGTATTAGTGCCCATCCAGAAGTGTGGTCTCCATGGCAAGCCTTTCCTGTCATTCCCTCTGAATGGGGAATTAAAAGCAAGGGCAATTATTTGCTCAGTGGGAACTTTGAATCACTAAGCCCGCTTTATCTGCATGGACACCACCTAAAAGACTTTGATCAGAGGTGCCAGCGTCTCTCTCTAGCTTTGCCCACAGCTAGACAAGGTTGAAAGCATTATTTTTCAGAAATCTATCAGAAACTCGAAACTGATAATATTCCGTCTAATGAAGCTGATCTGATTGTTTTTTATTTCTTACAGTTAAATCTAGCATTTTTGGTGTGAAGAGCCTTGAATGCAGAGTTTGTGTGTGTATGTGTGTTTGGTTTAATTTTGTTGCTTTAATTCTTTTTTCATTTTGTAAGTGTCATTACTGTCATTACTCAGCAGCAAGAAAGAACTGGTAGCAGATCCCCCGAGGGTGTTTCGTGCTAACCTCGTCTGAGTCACTCAGTGGTGATTCACTTGCTTCTGCAGGTGTACACATAAGAGATCTGGAAAAGATCCATGAATGCTGAAATGTGTTTTTATTTTCAAAAATATTT